ATGACAAAAGGTCATCTTTCTTTCCCCAGACCCCCTTGCTAGCCCCAAACAGATTACCTCCAATGGCCAAGCTAGCTCAGTTAACACCATCTCAGTTAACAGTCAAGGAAGGATGCAGTGGAGCCTGCCATGCAGGCAAAACAAGGGCCAAAGAAGCTATGAATTTCCAAGTATCAGTTCCACTGGATCATCTACTAACAACAGGAACACATGAAGACCTCAGAAAAGAGGCTGAGGGAGGAAGCATAGTCTAAATTAGCAAGAGCAAACAGCTTCTTTCTCAATAAAACCCCTTCAAAAATAAATGTAATGCCTGGGTGACATGAAGACAACACTTTACAAAAGCGTTCAACAACATTCTTTTGCTGTTTAGGGGGACAGTGGAGGACCTCTAGTCTGTCTGGACCAAGATAAATTTGTTCAACATGGAGTCACCTCTTGGGGCCTTGGCTGTGCTCAACCCATGAAACCTGGTGTTTATGTTCGAGTCTCCAACTACATTCCTTGGATTAAAAGTGTGATGGAAAGCAACTGATCCTGGGTATGGACTGCCCTCTCCTGGAAAGCAGCATGCACGCCAGAAATACAAGATTACAAGTGCAATATTAAAGCTAAAATCATTCATAAGAAAGCAAAATAAATATGATCATCCATTTTAAATTGCTATAAATTAATAGTCATTGCCAAGAAGCCCAGCTGACAGTCTGTTACCCTCTTTCTATATGTTATATGGTTTGTTTGCTATGTCTGACAATAGACTTACCCACCTCTGAAATACGTGTTGAAAATCCCAGCCTTAACTGTAACTGGACACCTGCATTTTAATTTTTTATTAGCTCTATAATGACATTTTCTTTTAAGGTCATCATTTTACAGATGTTGTGCTTCTAACATATGAAGAAATGAGAATACTTTTTATTTTCTAAGAGTTGTCTGAACCTATTGCCAATTTGATGCTACAAAACATAGAAGAATCTCACAGTACATGTCTTACATGCCTGTGAAGTTTTATTAGATATATTTAATAGCATTAAATACATGGGATGGGGAAAAAAAGAAGCAAACACATTTGGTTTGTGTTTTTGTATTTTTTATCATCATCAAAATACATGTGTCAGCAAAAGTATAAATGCTGCATCAATGATATAAAACAGTGAATAAAAAAACCAGCCTCACCCTGAAGTTAGTCTCTAGTAAAGACAAGAAAATAGCTATCAACAGCTACCACAAATAGTGACAATGCATGTACACATCTACATATTATAAAATTGTGTTGTCCATAGTCCCATTTATTTCTCTGTATAACATTATCTGACTACATAATTGTTAGATGTACATTTTTCTCCTCTAAAAGAAGATTGTGTACATATGTGGTTATAGGGAGTGTAAGCTTAAACTTTTTGAAATGTTTCCCAGGGAAAGCTTGACTCATGCTTGCCAAAGTGAAACAATTGCTGACTATAAACTCCTGCTGACATCCTGCTTCTCTGGCATATAAGCCAGGGAGCTCCTCACAGGTGTCTAGAGACCCCCAGCTCTGCATGGGGTCCTTCTGGCATCCCCAGGGTGTGCTGAGTCTATTCCAAGTAACTCAGCTACTTCCTGGGATTTGTCTTGTCCATTTTCCTCACTCCCAGACAAGCCAAGCTGCACGACATTTTAAAATTGTCTTTAATTTTTTTGTATGCTTGCACATGCAGAAAGGATGTGTTGCATCCTAGGAGTTTTGGTTTGTTTTTTTTCTCCCATTGCCTTAAAGAGAGATGAGAGCTAGTAAGCATAGTTAGGTGGCAGGTTGATCTCTGAAGCTTCTACATCTGGAGTCTGATTCTGGGAGATGAAATAATCTCAGGGCATTGCTTTCCTGGGCAGGAGCAGCTCTGATAAAACAAACATCACCCATCTGGTCAGAGGGATTCACTGAGCACAAATACCCTCCTGCATATTTTCTTTATATATCACCTTTGATCATTTAGCCAGCCAAGAGATTTGTACAATGCTTCCCTGACAACAGGAATTCTGCGCTGCAGCTTGAACTTCCATTTGTCAAGCTCTTCTGATGTGACCTCCTGAAGTCATGATTAATACCTGGCTTGGAGCTAGAGAAACCATTGGCCCTGCTCTCCTTGCCAAACTGGCTAGAAATGCCTGGATATGCCTGAGTGGCCACAAAAGTCCCACCTCATAGCCCTTCAAACAGTGCCAGTTGTGATCTTTTCCTTCCACAAGACTGTCAGTGGCAATAAAAATTGTCACTTTTTGTGGTAACCATTTGCACATGCTGGGTAAAGTAGCCCACGTGGTGGCAGTGCACTGTGCCTCTGGAGGATGCACATGCAGGACAATAGTAGCTGACAGAGTTCAGGCCCTCACTGAAGAGGTGCCTCTCACCGAGTGGCCTGGTGTCAACACATGCATCTTAGGAGAACACTGCTGTGGCTCCTGAGAAGCTTGTGGGATGTCCCTGTAAGTATTAAGGGGTTTGAAGCACATACGAATTTAGAATAACTCTTTTTTAAAACAAACAGCCTGTCCTGTGGCCTGCATGCCCAGGTGCATCCCTCTCCATGCAGATGGTCTAGCCTGGGGTTCTCCCTCTCTGAAGCTCTTCGTCTGGTACCACCACCTCATCTGTCCCACAAATGTGTAACCCCACCATTGCCAAAATGCTGGTCAGACACTGCACTACAAACCCACCACACCTCCAGGAGGCAACACAAAGTCTCACAGAGATGGAAGAATTTATCAACTTACGAAGTCCCTGTTAGGGATAAGAGTTGGCACAGGAGCAATTACCAAATACCAAACTCCACCTGAAGCTGCTAAGCACTTCTAGATTAGAAGTCAAAATACATGCATAGGCTTTTTTTTGCTGTCCTTTATAAAACAAATGTTTAAGAAATTAATATATTCAAACTTGTGACACTGCCCCAAGCCATTTTACCTACCAAAATTTATCACTTACATTATCTTTTGAGCAACACATAATGCTATGCAAATCAAAGCATAATCTAAAAGGAGGAGACAAATCTTTGCATCTCTCATTTCTCAACATGTTTTAGTTGTCCACAAACTGAGGAAGCTGTCAAAAGTTATTCACATTTATTTGGAAAGCTGTAGTTTTAAAATATCTCTGCAGTCTTTCTCAAGCTGCTAAAGAGTTTAAGACATCAATTAAAAAAAGAAAAAATCAAACAAAGAAGAAACACTCAATGGAAGAGTGTGGTTCAGCTCATCCAGCATTACATGAGATCACCCTGGTTCTCCAAGGTGCCTTCAGAAGGGGCTGGCTGGGCTGAGTTCTGTGGCTGGGGGCCCGCGCTTTCCACCCTGCACTGACACACATTTGGCCAGTGCAAGCCCAGGGCTCCCAGTTCAGGGCTGGTCTCTGCCAGCCAGCCTTGGACTATCACATTCAGCTATCCACAGAAAATTGTATTGGTCTAGGAGTTTTCTCCTTGTAGCAGTAGCTCCAGTTTTGTGTGGTGTCTTCTAGTTTAGCTGTCTATATTGTGAGATGTTCATTTAGATTTTTATATCTAAGTCATTACTAACTTTTGCTAAGCATACCTTTGACCTTTACCATGCCTCAGAGTAAGTTAGAAACAGCCTTGAAAGACAGGCCTTTATCACTAACTGCCTACAGTGTGCAAACATTAGGCTGGGATTATTGTTAAAGGTCCTGTTTTCCTCCAGAAGGGCTGCTGATAAGAGCAGTTGCTGGGAAAAGGCAGGGAAAGTTGGGAATTGTTGGAAAGCACAGTATATTCCTCACCATAGGAAATCCTCCTGTGATCATAGGGTGGTGAGACTGGAGCAGTGGTCATTCATTTTCACTGACTGTACTATAGTGCTACTGATCTGTGGTATGAACCTTCCAAACTCAGTCCTGTATTTGCTGGTGCCAAACACGTCTTTTTTGTGACCTTATAAGGCCCTTTATAACATCCCACTGACTTTCTTTTATGTATTTCTCTGTTGGTAACAGGATACCTTTTGAATGCCACATCTTTTCAAGAAGTGTATTGTTCACCAGGAGAGGACACAATTCTTGATGAAGGTCATACAGGAGAAAGGAAAGGGACTCTGTCCTTGGAAGCTGCTTGCAGAGCCAGAGAGTTAATTCTGTTGCTTGTCAGCTTCAAAGGACCAACTAACACTTCCCTCCATAACCAAAGCCCCTGGCTCCTCCCTGCCCAAGACATCATGGCATCTCTGTCAACAACCCCCAGAAAATATCCCCAAGACAGGAAGATGACAGTGATAATGAACGGAAGACAGAAAGTGAAGGTCATCTTGGAAATGGAGAGGGTGAAGGAATTCTGTTCATAGGGGTGGGCAGAGAGCATGATTTACAAAGCAAAAAATGAGTATGGTCCTGAAAGAGGTGTTTGGAAAAGCATTCAGGAGAGGAGAGCAGGCAGAAGCCCTTTCCTTGGAGATATGAGGGGTCACATGAACTCCAGCTGTGTCTGGGGAAAGGCACTACAGGGCAGCAGAACACCCTGTCCTGCAGAGCTAATGCCCTGTGCAGGTTATGACACCTACATAAAGCCCTGGAAAGGTGAGGAAGACTGCTTCCACATTTCAGAAAGCCATTGAACAAGGAGGGAACAGGGCTTTTTTGAAAAGGGTCCCTGTGGATTACAATCAGACCAGAGAGAGGTTCTCCTGATGCACACTGCTGATTTCCATGCCTCTCAACCAGGGAAAGAGTCACCTGATCAGTACCCAACTTCATAACTCCTGTTGGTCCAGATACTCCAGGGGCAAAGGAGGACAGGTTAAAATAGTCATCCTCTCCCCCTCAAGGTCATCTAAATCTTAAACAAATACTACCATTGAAATACTTCCCACACAAATGTAAATCCTAACAAAACAATAAACAAATGTCTCAAATAGATACAGAAATAAATACAAGGTCACTGGGCTGGACATTCCATACTTTTAAAGCTGTTCTGTTTTCTGTGAAGAACCATAGTCTCTTCTTGCAAACAGTGTACTCAGAAAAAAAAAGTATTTATTCCACATTCATAGAAAAATACACTACTTGTATTAAATGTCCTTGTGCTTAGAAGAAGGAGAACATGAAGTTTAATCCATATTCTGCAGCCAATTTTGAAATGGTGGCAGGTAGAGAACAAATTCCCAGTATGGGAACAAAGCTATTAGCTCAGTGCTGTCCTTCAAAAGTCAAATATAAGAGTTGGTGTCCCGGTGTTTCCCTTTCTTGCCACATTTTCCAAAATGACTGTTAAAACAGAAGAGGAATGTAAGTGTGAAAAAAAAGGAAAATACATAGTTCAAGTAGTAGTCCAAGGTGCAGTACTGTCATTATTTTTATATGTTTATAAATAAAAATAAATAAATAAATAAATAAAATTTTATACTTATAATGTCATTATAAGAAACATTATTTTTTTGCATAGAAAATTACCTTTCTTTAGTTTTTACATTGAATCAGGCAAAAGTTGCTAATGTAATATCCAAAGCCTCCCCTCGAAACATTAATGTGTAGCACTAGATCCTCAAATCATTTTGCCAAGGTGTAAATATTCCCCACATATCTGCAGGGCAATGAAGAGTCTGGTTTGCTGTGTGTCAGGAGTGGGAAAGCTGTGCCTACAACTCTTCAGCTATAAATCCATCTCACATGTGACTTTTAAATGACTTCACAAATTGTGGGGTTGCATCCATGATAAGGGGCCCTTCTTCACAGAATGCTTTGGCTGAGATTATGGCTGATTTCCTTGAGCAGAGAGTTGTAGGCTATGCTTTGCAGCACCTCTCTTGTCCACTATCACTTTCTGCTCCCAGACATGCATAGGACAACTTTGTGTCTCTATGAGAAAAATACACACTTTATCACCACACATTTTTTTTAATAGCCTTCCGTAGTGATACTGCAAAGTTCAGGTTTCTATTGAGGAAAAGACCACCTGCTCATAGCGTCAGGCTAATTGGGAATTTACTTTGACACTGGAAAATGTCAATACTTTATGACAGTTGGTAAAGTGGGAGGAAAATATCCCCAGGAAACCTCACCCAAGTATAAGTAAGAAAATGCATCTCATACCTTGGAAGCTGCTCCACATCCTCCACTGTCTCTGGTAATGAGATTCCCTTTGTCTCTGGTAAAAGCAATACTAGGAGGCCACAGACAGCTGCAAGAATACCTATGACAGATATTGAGGAAATACAAAATAAATAAGAGCATTGTTTATTTATTTTCAGCATTTATCCACTGAGCAAAGTTTATTCAGATTGAGTTTTAAATGAGATGTTTTAAGTGCATCAGCTAGCTCTGATTAACTTACTTGAATCAAACACCTCTGTGTTACATTAATTTAGCCTGTTACAAAATCACTTGGGGGCTAGGACCTCATTTGCAGCCTGATCTCCCCAAAGGGAGATCTCAGAAGTCAAAAACCTGAGGTAAGTTCACATGGGCAAATTTATAAAGAATAGCACAGGAACCAGGGTGGTATTTCTTATGTAGAACAAATCTGCCTTTTCTCAAAGGGCTTCATCATGTAGATGCATCTGTGTTTCCTGAAACTACTGAGATTTTCCTGAAATAATTTCTTCCTTTATCCATGGCCAAATTAAATTATGTGATTCAGGATAAAAACTCCTCCTTGAGGAACAGCATTCAGATACAATCTGAATTAGGAATGGATATTTTGGAATAATTTCCTGCATAGATATAATTTACATAATGTATTAAGTCAAAAATAGAAGGGCTGGAGCAAAAAATATCAAATGTTCCCTGACTGTTCCCTGAAATGTTGCACAGTCCACTCTGATCCTCTCTGATTTTGTAGCTGTTTATTTAAGACAAAGGGAATTCGTATGTCCCTCAGAAGCAGCGGAATTTAATAATTAGATAATGTGAACATTCTAATTCCATCTATGTCTTTTCTTGAAATAATTGTAATCTTTTAAGATGTCTTTTGTCTTTCCAATTTTGTTGTCAGCTAAAGTTGTCATTGGTGCAAATTTCCCTTCTTATTCTATCCTTTTCATTTTGATTTTTTTCCAGTCATGTCTACCTCCTAGAAGTCTGGCTTAGCCACAGACTCCCATGCAATTACAGAACCTAGCTGTAAGGTTTCTTAGTCTTAAAGCACCTCACATAGTTTCTTTTCTGCTCCTTCAGCAGTTACCTAAGCAGACCTGAGCATTTCCACATTGCACAGAGAAATCACATTTCACCATTTGCCATTCAGCCTCTTGCTCTGGACATAAAGGTTGAGAAGCGCTGGTCTGAGGGGGAGATAAGGCCACATACTACTTTTACCCCAAAAGAAAAGCTCTGTTAGGATATTTAAACCAAAAGTATATTGTAAATTAAATCTTACTGAAAATAATTAGAGGTAGCTCCAACCAAATGGCTGCTAGTCGGAAAAGCAGGAATGGGGCTATGATCCCACCAAGATCACACAGACTTGAACACAGGGAGACACCAAAGTTCCTGCAAAAGACAGAAAGTACCAGATATTAGAGAGGTGCTACCAAACAGAACAACCAGCAGTTTAAGGAGTAGAATGTAGACGTAGCTCCAAAATTATCTCTTCAGTATGTGGCATCCACATTAAGCAGTGGCTATTCAGCTGGGGAACTCTGGAAAAACCAGTTTTAACCAAAGGACAGTGAAAGAGAAAATGGTGAAAAGCACAGGGAACAGCATGAAGATCCCTGGGAGCTTTTGACTTACCTCAGTGTTGTAGGGTACAGTTCACTGTTCACTAGGTAGACAACTTCAAAAGCTATTGTGATGCTCAGTCTCCCCAGTGTGGCAACTGTTGTTTTGAGCCATGGAATATCTGTTCATGCAAAAAGAAACACTTCTGTGTGAAGTGCTGTCACACCAGCAGAGCATTTCTGAGTGCCCCAGGCCCTGCCAGCAGAAACTGTACCACAGGAACACTGCAAATCAGACCACTGAAAGACACTGCAAATGAAAGACCACTGCTGTAGGTATCAATCTGTGCTGGCATTTATTGCTTATGAACATCATGTGAGGCTGCTTTGGAGAATTAGAAATCACTAGAGTTGATTGATTCAAGATGCTGGTGGGGCATAACAGCATGGATGGGAGAATAACCATCATAAGCTTCCATGACCACATCCAAACTGTGCTCCAGAAAGGAGTATTTTTCTATACAGGAGAGTTATGCTGTAAGAAACAGTGTTGAGTCACCTCCCAAAGCCTTCTGACCACAAGGAAGGTACCTCTAAAGTTCCATAGAATCATAGAATCACTTAGGTTTTAAAACCACTGAATCCAACTGTTAACCCAACCCTGCTACTTCACCACTAAGCCACATCCCTAAGTGCCACATTTACACATCTCATCAAAACCTCCAGGAAGGCTGCAGTAAAATAATTCTCCCTGGAGAAGTCCACCTACCCTTTGTAATTTTTCTAGCCACTGCACATTAGACATACTCCTAATTAGGCTACTCCTCACCATCCTCCCCTCCCTTTCCATCACACCTGGCATGACTGGCACAGGCTGTACCTGACCCTGCCCCGCTGGCTCTGCCCAGCTCTCCCAGCTCCACTCAAGCCCTGGTGAGCAGCCACTGCCCTGAATCCATCATTGGGCAGCCCTGGTACATCAGCAGGGGTGTGGTGCTCACCCACACACGGCAGGACAGAGTTGCCCCTGTGGTTGTGAGCAGCCCCTCTCTGGAGAGCTGGTGCTCTCTGCAAATGCATCACAAGGAATGTGACAAGCACTGTCATGCTCTTGGGAGAGGACAGTCTCCTGCATGGTCTAACCATGACTAGGCACACAGGGAGGCAAGTGAAACATCAAGCCTGAACTTGGCACCAAGGGAAGCTCTGCCACTGGAGAGGACCCTGGCAGTGATTGTGTTTTTTCAGATCTTCAGTGGAAGAACAAGAAAACATTTCAGTTTTCTCTGAACCAAAAATGAGACACTTGGGTTTATTTCTCTTCCAAAACAACCAAATAAACCGCCATCAAACTTCATCCTGTGTTGCAAGACACTGCTTTTGCCCTGCAGAGTTCTGTTTTCAAAAACATATAAGAAAAACAAAGACTGGAAAGAACAAAACAAATCCACATCATCTCCATGGCACCCCTTCAGTCTATCAGACTCCCAAGGTGATGGTGACGTCCATGTGGATCCTCCCTCTGCCAGGGGACTCAAACTGTGTGAGCAACACTGTGTGATGGGGCTCACAGCTGAGAGCTGCAGTTTTTTAAGGAAATCTGTATAAACAGATTTCCTTAAAGCAGGACTTGGACCTCAAGTGTCCAATCTGCAAGTATCTTAACCCCAAGGCTGTCCCCTCCTACTGAGAGAAGGCTGTTGGCAGCCCCGTGATATACCTTGAGAAACTAAAACCTATTTGTATGGCCAGGACTGTCCCTCCCTTTGGTAGGAACAGTTCTGGGGAGGAATAAACCTTTCTCATGTCCATTGAACTGCTGGTCCCCAGCTATGGTAAGGCAAAGCATAGTCTTATGGTTATATACAATTCAAAGCACAACCCAAACCAAAAAACAGTAAAAAAACACAACAAAACAATCCCAAAAACACAGGGCAGGGAAAACAATTTAAAGAAAGGAGAGAAGTGCTGGGAAGCCTTTGCACAATATGAGCTGTCCTTGAAACCAGATAAGAATGGCTTAATCAAAAGACATATCTTTCTCCCAGCCTCTTAGCATAGACTACCAAGATGAAAAAATCACTGATTTCTTAGATCACTAAGAGTGTTCCATGTCAGGGAATGCATATTCACATTATGTTTGTATATTCTTCCCTTGCATTTGCCTTTAAAGAGAGTGCAGGGCCTTCATATACCTTTTCTCTAAGACTACTCCCAGTAGTTATGTTGTTCATAACCCATCAAAGATAAGGCTATTCCATGTCCCAGGGCCATCTATGTGCAAATTAGGTGTGTTGTTCCATGACATTTGGGTGCTGCTTGTATCACCAGATGCTTTCACTTTCATCTGCAGCTCTGTGTGTCTGGCTATCCTTGCTCAGGGGGTGTCAGGGGGAAGCCATTGACCTGCAGAGCCTGACACAGGGAAGGGAATCACCTTCTGGCAGGAAGGCAGTGACGAGACACGTGATGCTGGCCACGATGTTGCTCATGGCGAAGGGCAGGCGCCGGCCAACGCGATCAATTGTCACTATGATTAGGAAAGCAGCGGGCAGCTCCACAGCTCCTGAGATGAAGAAGTCTAGGTAGAGGTTTCCTCCAATAATTCCCAGGCGCATGACAAGCCCTTGGTAGATAAGGGCACTTGTGAACCTAAACAGCAAAGGGGGAAAAGTGTTGAGAGGCAAACAAATGATTGCAAGCAGCTAGAAAGTCACAAGGGAATCTTTCCTCAAAACCCACCTTCCAGGTAACATGGGCACTCACCAGGCATACATCAGGATGAGTGTGCTCCTCCTCATCTGGGGAGTCCTCACCAGGTCAAGAAAGGAGGGGTTGCTGACCTCGTTGCTAATAGTGATCTGAGGAGACAAGTGAGCAGCAGTCAGACACACACTGGGACAGAGTTTCTGGGTAAATACAGTGATCAGCAATATTCCAGTCCAGCAAGCAGAGGTGCTGACAAGCCAGTTTGCTGCTCACAGCACTCTGGAGCAGCGCACAGGTGTTGGAACAGCAAATAACTGGATATGGCTGTGAGCTTTCCTTAATGTTGATTGAGAAAAAGTCAATTAAAAAATCCCCAATCTTAACTTGTGAATGGAAAAATTTTTTCCTCCTTGCTGGCTTGGATTTTCTTGGAAGGTAATAAGCAGTTGTTGTCACATCAGGGCCACTGGACAGAATTTTGTTCTGCCAGGGGTGGCAGAGAGGAAGGGGGCAAAGCAATGGTCTGAGGGGAGCAGGGACAGAGGGGCTGAGCAGCAAGCAGTGGGCTTGGGAACATCACTGGTGGCACAGCTGGGCAGCAGGAAGGAAAGGGGAGTAGAAGAAAGAGCAGATCTGTGACAGTGCTTGGGTGCTACAAAATATTCAACCAGTGAAATTCAGAGGGTCCTAAAACACACATGCACTGTGCTGAACATGGCTTTCACTCTGAAAAAAAAAAACCTGCTACGTATGAATTAATGATCCTCATACTGCCTACAAAGTATCAAAAATCTGTTCTCAGCTGCCTCCAAAACAATCACAATGAGACACTCAATGAAATTACTGGCTAGACTAACAGAAAAGAGCAGAATTTCACACTGTTCTGTGTTTACCCATTGAAGTTCATTGCTGCAGATATTAGAGAGCCAGAATACTAGCAGGGCCAAAAAGGGATTAGTTACATTGAACATTAGGCTGTTTTTAACTCTGGCCAGCAGTTTTTATCCATGCTGTGCAAGCCAGGTGGGAACCCTGTGTTCATGTGGTCATTTGGCAAGAGAGGAAGACACAAGGAAGATAATGCAGAAGCAGTTTTAGGCAGGGACCAACTATGATACTGCCCAAGAACTGGCAGCCACAGCTGGGCTTGCTATCAGCTCTCAAAGCAGCTGTGAGGAACATGGGGTTAAACATGCTGTGCCATTTTTAGGAGGATTTTAGGCAGCCTTGCTGCTTTACCTCTCCATTATTGACCCCTCCTAAGAGGGGAGGCCTAAAAGGGCAAAGAGGGGAGCAAACCACAGCACCTTCTGCTCACACAGGTGCAGGGGCCCAGGCCAGAGGGGAGACAGCAGTGAAAAGACAGAGAAGCTGGAGGTAACGTGCAGATCCATGATGAGAACACAGGTAAAGCCAAAGGCATTGCCTGAGGGTCTCATCAGCTCAGCCAGGGCTGAGCCCAAAGCTTTCATCCTCCATTTGTTTTATCATATCGTAAGGCAGCACAGCTGCTTTTAGGTGAGATTTTGCTGGATGTATTTACACATGACTTTTTCATATCTGACTGACACAAAGTCAGTCTTACTTTGTAAGACAGAGAAGCCTCACAATTGTTTGAACTTCCTTCATACTCCCTCTCCCTTTTCTTCTGTAACCAGAGCCAAAGGTTTTCTTCAAAGCACTGCCACTTGTGCTGCATGCCAGAGTCCTGAGCGAGGCAGGCTGAGGTTGCTGGGTTTCTGCACTGCTCTTGGACTCTCTCATAGTACGGTTATAAAGCTGCCATGTCTGTTGTTTATTAGAACAGGCTGCCAGCCATCAGTTGTGACTTTGTGCAAATATGGTTTTAGATTTTCAGAGGACTAAAGATAAATTCAGCACAACCACCACTTGTATTTTTATGTCTTAATAAAGTCAAAATAACCCCAAGCATTGCTGAGCACCTTTTTATAGATGAAGAAAAAAAGCACTATGGAGACTCAACACTTTGCAGGGGAAAAAAATCCTCTTTTTGTCTTTTGAAGTCAAGGAGAGCTTTGCTATTCATACCAATGCAGTCAGGAATTCAATGACAGGGCCCATGTTTCCAAAGATACACTAATTGAAAACCCTGGATGAAGTTTTATAACTTCTCTCAAATTTTCATGTTCCAGAAAAATTCCATATGTTTTCCCACAATTATTTTTATGTATTTAGTTCTATGCATGCTAATTCTCCATGGACCATGCAGGTTTATACCTACATGGATGTATATAACATTTACATATGTAAGTTAATGTATGCAAGAAATACATATGTCTAGATAAGTTCTATAGGATAGGAAAAAATCTGTAGATAAAGGGACAGGTTTTGATCCAAAATTCTCTTAAGAAGCAGCTCCTAATCAGAGAGTTGCAATTCATTCTGGTTTTGGACAGAAACTAAAAATTAGAAAATTAGTTTGAAAAAACTCTCCATGATAGGATAAATATGAGCAACTGGAAAAAAAAAAAAGTTTATAATTTACAATTAATTTAATGAGTTCTGGTTTGGGTTGACCTATACCAGTGCTGTAATTCACAAAGCATAAGCAGCAAATGTTTATCCTTTTTCATATAAAGGTCATCTATCATTTCTGCATGCCAGCAAAAACCCAAAGCTGCAACATCCAGAGCTGTGTAAGGGACTTGGCCAGTGAAATTAATGCAGACATACTGGAAAATCTGAGCAAATACCATTGAGGGATAATGCCACTCACTTCTCCCTGAGCCTCCACACCTATAGCCTGAAATTCTAGAGCTGCTTCATGAAAGAGAAGTTTGATATCAGTTAATGTGAGAAATACCCTTGATCCATTACCCATGCACTTCCTGGAGATGCTCTCTTTCCTATGTGTGTAACACAGCACAAAGGATGACAGAGATTTTATATTAAAAAGGTCCTGGGAACAGATCCAGCACAAATCTGGATGTGTGGAGGTTAATCTGTTGCAGCTGTGAGTGGCTTAAGGTCACGAGCATGGATACTTTTGGAAAAAAATAAAAATACAACTCAAAACAAAAAGCAAGGAAAGACACATCTTTCTGACACAATGCTTTGAAAATGCCGATGTCTGGAGAGAAAGTGGGTGTAGGAATGCAGGGCTGAATGTGGATGGGAAACTGCAGCAGCACAAACTTCCTGCTACATGACTTGGGGAACAGTGGGCACTGCATAATTCTGACCTGGATGTGGGAATCACGCTGGTGTAAATGCCTCAGCAAAAGACAATAATTCATAGAATCATAGAAGGTTTGGGCTGGAAGGGGCAATAAAGTTCCTCTAGTCCCAGCTCCCTTGCCATGGCCAGGGACACTTTCTACTAGGCCAGGTTGCTCGAAGCCTTGTCCAGCCTGGCCTTGAACACTGTCCAGGATGGGGCATTTACAGCTTCTCTTGGAAACGTGTTCCAGTGTCTCATCACTCTCACAGTGAAGATTTTCTTCTTAATATCTAATCTAAAACTGCCCTCTTTCAGTTTGAAGCTATTCCTTCTTGTTCTGTTCCTTCACACCCCTGACTGAAGTCCCTCTCCAGCTCTCTTGTAACTCCCCTTTAGGTACTGGAAGGCAGCTCTAAGGTCTCCCTGGAAACTTCATTTCCCTGGGCTGAGTGAGCCCAGCTCTCTCAGCCTTTCCTCATAGGAGAGGTGCTCCTGCCCTCTGATCATTTCACAGCCCTCCTCTGGACTTACTCCAGCAGCTCCATGTCCTTTTGTAATCTCACGATAACGAGAGGTTTAACAGTGTCCCGCACCTGGGTCCAGGCAACCCCTGGTATCAACACAGGCTGGGAGTGAACACACCAAGAGCAGCCGTGCCCAGAAGGACTGGGAGGTTCTGGTGGATGAGAGATGGACATGGCCCAGCAATGTGCACTTGGATCCCAGAGAGCCAATTTTATCCTGGGCTGCATCCAAAGCAGTGTGGGCAGCAGGGGGAGGGAGGGGATTCTGCACCTCTGCTTTGTCCTGGTGAGACCCCACCTGCAGTGCTGCCTCCAGCTCTGGGGTCCCAGCGCAGGAATCATGGAATGTTTTGGGTTGAAAAGGATCTTAATTATCACTCCAGTTAACCACAGCTGTTCTCAATGAACCATAAGCCCAGTGCTGCAGTAATCATGGTCTGAGAGCCAGACACTTGCTACCAGCACAGAACAAGCCAAATGCTGCAATGTCACAACAGCACTATTTGAAATGCATCAGTCCTTTCAAGTTCTGTCACGACCACTGGCCAAAGGACTGTAACACATATCATCCTACTTTGTGAATAGTGATCTCAGACAGACCTTCATCAGTTGTGAACTCTGCAGTGCATTTTCTCCCTGTTGGGATGAAAGCAAATTCGTACTCAAAATCCAATTTCTTTTTCTCTTAGAGTTGTGAAAGGAGCTTCTAGAAGAAGAGTCAGGAAAGTGGATCCTGCTATAGCCACTCGCTCTGTCAGATAAAATGGCAACTTCTATGAAATACCATTGCCCCTCAGGTCAGTTTCTGATACTTCCCACAAGTTTTTCAAGTAGTAGTGTTACAAAAGGAAGACCTAATTCCTTATTTCAGCCCCTATATTTCCAGCCAGTTCACTTTTCCCATCTTGCAATTAACAAAGATGTTGTGTGTCTGACAACAAACTGTTCTGCTGTGACTCTTCAAGTGTGTCATCCATCCCTTAAAGAGAACATATTTTAACACCACTGAACCTTCCAAAGCCCAAGAAAGCTTAGAAAAAGCCTCTAGCTCAAACATATGACTGTACCTCTGAGTAATGTGGTGAGAGAAATTTCCCATTGTGTTTTGCAATATTGCGCATGATTTTTAATGCCTTCTCTCCCTTTCTGCGTGTCAGGAGCCAACGTGGAGATTCAGGAACCACCCTGTAAGAGCAGAAGTTGTAAATAAGGCTTTTACCTTGTAACATCAGAAGTCAACCTAAGTTTTTTGTCTTTTACCCTGTGTTAACACAAAGCACAGATCTTTCAGACTTTGGGCTACAAAAACTCTTTGAGGACTGCTTTTCCAGTCAGCCTTCTGTAAATTATTTGATTGTAGCGGGCAAGAAAGAAGAAAGCAGACTACATCAATACCCTCCAAAGTTGAAAAATCAGAAATCTAACTGTTGTATCTGCACAATGGTTATCAAAAGCATGACCAACAAGCAAAGAAGGTTCCTGTAGAACAGCAGCAATTAAAGCCAACACTAAACACGTAGATTAACACATAGAGGCAGATCAGGGAGCTTCTGGCTGCATCACTGTAAGATACACACACACACAAATGTATACCTCTTTTATAAACTGAACACAAAGCACTGATGGGTGTTTCAGTTTCTGCTAGCCTAGAGTTAAGATCATTCACTATTTTAAGGTTCACAGCAGACAGTGTTTAAGGAAGCAATGTTCAGGAGGAGGCTCTGTAGGTTTGTCTCTTTGGATCCATTCCACAGGATGGCTGCAATGAGACAGGTATTTACCATGGCTTGGAGCTCTGCTTTCTCATCAGCTGTACTGCCCAGCTCAGGGGACCTGAGGGCAAGGTCAGACTTTAACTAGGTACATAATGGGAGGCAGAAGTGGGGTCTCATGGCTGATGGGAAAAACAAACCTGGGTCAAGTTGACCTTATAAACAGAGCAGAGTTCTGTGAAGGGCCAGTTGTGGCTGATCAGAGAGGCAAACTGTGGGCAGAAAAGCTGAAGTAATGTATGTTTGTGATTCACTAAAAGGGAATTACAAATTACAAAGTCAACAATATGCAAGTATCTTCTCCCTAACCTACAAGTGGAGACTTGGAGCTACAGCAGGACTCTCAAGGTGCTCAAATAGCAGTAGCAATAATGACAATGACTGCAACATTACCAATAGTAGAGCAGGAAGAGGAAGTTGGGCAGTGAAATGGCCAGCTGGATCCCCTGCCAGGTGGGAATCAAGTATGCAATTCCAGGGAGAATTATAATTCCCAGGGTAAAGAATATCTGAATCACAATTCCAACAATCCGCTGATCGGAACCAACGATCTCCGTCACTGAGCAGAAACAAAGCCAAAATAAATAACACAGAAACAAGCCCAATTTGAAAAAATACTATTAGAGGTGAAATGTAAGGAAGGCTATGCTGTGTCAGGCCACAGGTCTGTCTAGCTCAGCATGCTGTCTTCAGCAGTGCAGGCGTGTAACTGAGGCTCTCCAGGGCAAACATGAGTGGCACCTCCTCATCAACTCACCCACCCTCCTTCAGCCAGGGGGGTTTCTGACCACTGAACTCAGTTTGCTACTGAGTCCCACAGGGCCACAAGAGGGGGTTGAGACTGCATCATGATCATGCTTGGTGGGAAATCCTTAGCACTCTCCCTGGTGCAGTTCTGGCACATGCCCCAGCCAAGGGGATCCTTCAGGCAGAGGCTGCTCCCAGCAGGTAATATGGACAAGGTATCTGTGGGGAAGAAAGTTTAACCATATCATGCTGGTTGCTCTGTATGCTTGTAAGGTATGATCCAGTCTGGTTTGTTTGTTTGTTTATTTATTAGGAAAGTCTTAGCTTTTGTTGTTTGGGGGTTTTTTAATCATTTGGTGGATTTTTTTATTTTGTGAATGTGTCCAATAGCTCTGAAACCTATGCTTGTTTTTCAGGCAATATCCCATGGCCATGACATCCACAACTGAGGTGATCAATGCATGAAAAAGTGTCTCCTGTTTGTTCCAAAACTCTCTCCACTACAACACCTTCAGAGTAAAAGCAGAGAGTTTTACCCTGCTTTTTGCAACACGCAGAAAACATTTTATTTAAAATTTATTTATTAATTTATTTTGCTAAAGCAGGCACAAATTTACAAGTAACAATAGTTTGTTTTGGCTGGCAATGCAGAGAGATATGATAGCACAACCATTTTTATTGACTACCCATCATGTCTGGATAGCTCAGGGGAAACTGTTGCCTGAAGATAGCTGATTAGCACTGCCCCCAAAAGAGCTGGAATGTATGCAGAAGCAAAGGGAAGTTATTGGGGCAGCCTGAAGCACACATCAAGAGCTTTGGAAATGTATTAATAGCAACCAGCCTCCTGGTGCAAACAAGCCTATGATCTGTATATGTTTCTCAAAAGATGTTAGGCTGGAAAATACTCTGGGTGATCTCAGGAGATAAGAGTCGATCCCTGAAGAGATTTGAAAGGGATCACTCTTCCCAAGAGTTAGGCACCTTGCTTAGGTCTGCAGTAATACAGTGTACCTGAGGATCTCTGAATCTTTCCCCAAAGTCAAGCAGCCTGATCTGAGCACTGAAAAGCATTCCTTTCTGTTAAAGCTTGGACATTTTAAGGAAGCCATGGGTCTGTCACAAAACATATTGCTAGTTAGAGCACTTGCCAAAGTTTCAAGATAAGATCTCAGTTTAAAATTAAGCCATGTGCATGGAAGTAAGAGGAAAAGCAGCTTCTGGTCCTTTCACTGGATCTTGGACAGGAGCTGCTCAGCAGTGTAACAGCCCAGAAAAACAAGGTTTTCTTGGCTTTGGATGCTAAGAGGGCTAGACTGGTATGTTTGCACATTCATCAGCACAGTACTCCCAGGTCCCCTTTTAAGTGTTTATGTCTGGTTGCAATTCGCTCCCATTCATCTAAATTCCACTAGGAATTTTAAACACTTGTCACAGGCCTCATAGACAACAGCAATGATACAAGCTTTTGCCCTATATAACAATATTATCACTATGTTTTGGTTTATAACAGTAGATCACCAAATGGCTGGTTTTATTTTTAAGTAAATCTGACATCTTGTCTCTTGCAGGATGCCTTCCTCAATGTCTGGCCTTTTCATTTTTTATTACTGCCTTACTGAACCTGGCAGTCATTCAAGACACCACAACAATATCCCCTCCTTGTCAGGAGGAAGCTTGCTATGCAAGGAGCTTCATTGCTATAGACTATAGACTGATAAATTATAATCTACCAAAGATTTTGTATCCCTGCTGTTTTGATGCTATTTATAACAAAGCTTGCCTTTCTTTTCCCTTTTCAGGAAAATATTAATCCTAATATGGACCCTGGTGCCCAGCCTGACACTATGTAAAGTGTCCCAGTTAAAGAATGAAAGCAGCCAGCCAAGCTGTCCTCTCAGTGGTGAGAAGCAGCTAACTCCTCTGAGCATCTGTGGAAGACATTCAGACTCTGCCAAAATAAACCACCTCCCTGTTTCTGTATCCAGTATATTTGGGGCTTGCTCTGTAGATTTTTATCGTCCTGGTGATCTTCTACATAATAACAAAGCCTTTATATATGAATGATCCATTCCTTCACCTCTTAGTCATTGGAAGACAAATGCATTAACTAGGATGGACTTGGGTTACTCTTTGTTTGCTGACTCCAGTGCTTTGTTCCCAAGAAAAAAATTTATGACAAGTAGATGCAGCCAGAGCCTTTGCCTTCCAAAAATCCCTCACTTTCCCTAACCAAGAAAAAAAGAAGGTAACAGCTCTCACCAATCACGTAGCATGTCATCCAGGTTCCCTTGCCAAACATGCCTTGGAGAAAACGGAAGATCAAAAATACAGTAAAATTTGGTGAAAATGCCACTATGATACCACATATCCCAACCCCAAGGCAGGAGAGCAGGTAGATGGGGATTCTGCCATATCTGTTGAAAAAGGAAAAGAAAGTGGAAATCATGAAAAGACACAAAGACTTTTCTTTTTCCCCCAACATTTCATTTTAATGCTAGATCTGACAGTGCCTTTTTGAGATCAGCTTTTTTCCAGAAGGTGGCTCTCTGAAACTTTGTAGTATTGGCCCTTGGGATACAGAACTCTTTTCCCTGTGGTAGGTATCACTGTCTTTACATCACTAATTTCAAAACTTGTGATGTCCTCACCAACCCCCATTTTGTTTTAGAGAACAAAATATCTTTTTGTACCTAAACTATGGCCCATATGTTCCAGCTCAGGTCTTTGATTTGATCAGGTTTTTGATAAGGGCATTTTTTTGCTGGGAATTTCTGTTTCCACGAATTAGTGCTTTAATAATAATTACAGCCAGTTCTGTGAAAGTAATTTCTGCTTGAATTACTCTATGTGATTTTTATTATTTATTATAGGCTTGCTTTAAGTTTAAATCTCTTATTTTCAAAATGTGCCTAATGTATTCAGGAGTCTCACTTTCCAACAAGAAACATAATTATGTGCCCAAGGTAAGGTATAATTTTTAAAAAAAAAAAGTTCCTGTAGTTTCATGGAATTGTGTCTTTGGAGCACAACTAGATATTTTCTCTGTTCTTGTTGTTTTAAGAAGAAACTGTGAAAAATGATGTGGCTGTTTATATTACCATATAGTATTTGCAACATAGTATTTGTTTGTTCATTTTATTCAAAGGGTTTAATGAAAAGAATTAATGCAGGACAAAACCCAAGCAATTTTCAGCCAGATCCATTCTTTTGAGTGCTGTCAAGGAGACAAGAGTGAAATGATCTGGTTGCAGCACATTCTCCCAGTTCTGTCAAAACATTCACAGCTGTACAGTTTCATTAGGCTTACTACACAAGCACTCCTAGACATATTGTTTTGTTTTAATAATTGGCTGTAACATCTCTGCTCTTTCACAGTTTTGTGGTCCTAGTATCACAATTGCCTGGCCAGTCAATGAGCAGAGATATCTTAAGTTAGTCTGTGCCATGGCCTTTTTTTACCTCGCTTTTTCCCTTATTACTATATCCCTTGGAACGACGAGCTTTTCCTTGGAATTACTTTTGTTTGCTAATTCAAAATTTTCTATCTGAGATGCCATTACAGATAAGTTTGCCTATGAAGAAATCATACTCTAAGTTATTATTATTATTACAGATACGAAAGAAAATATAAACCAGGCAGAAAGTAATTTACAAACTGAATAGAAATGGTCTGTCATTGAAACCCTCAGTGGTGCTCTCAGCCAATGGACAGGCTGCCTACTGTTAAATAGCAACACAAAGCACAAACTATGCTCTCTTCTTTACTTTCAGAGCAAGGTAGAGCTTGTAGGAGCTCCCCACTCTGGAGCAGGTTAGCTACTCAAGCCTGAATATCACCCACACCTTTTCACAGAATCACAGAATGGGTGAGGTTGAGAGGGACCTTCCCTTGGTTTCATCCAGCTCACACAGGGCTGAGGACTGGTTGGCAGGAGCTATGACCTTGGAGGTAAGCATGAGGGCAGCCTGTGAATGGAGAGAGCTATCACACTGAGCCCCTTCTTTCTTTCCTCAGGTAACAGCTTTCTTCATCAGTGGTGCCTATTGAACATCCTTCAGTAAACATCAGTCAGAAAGCTCCTCTGAATGCTTCCCTTTTTGTTTCAGTGTCCTTCTGCCCTTCCTGGATCCAGATGTGCACAGAAAACTTTGGAAACCACAAGAAAAGCTCATTTCATGGCATTTTAAGGCCCTAACAGGACCAGTAAGTACAGTCGCATAAAGTTTCCAGCCCAAATAAAAGTAAAAATTACATTGGCTGGGTTTTGCTAACTCATTTTGGGTATATTTACCCAAAGAGAATAAAACCTGGAGAATCTTGACACATGGCTATTGCAGGTGATACTGAGGGTGGTTTCACCTCCTAACAAAGGACAGCAGAGCTCATACCGTACCTGTCAGCAGCATAGCCCAGGAGGAATGCTCCAGCCAGGAACCCCAGATTGAGGATGGCTTGTGAGAGATCCAGCATCCAGCCATTGCCACACACGAGATCATACTGTGGGAACAAGGGAGAGGCATAAGCACCCAGCTGGATCATTTGTCACCCTCAGGGCAAAACATGACAGAACTGCAAAGGTCCACATGGGAAGGGGAAAAGGAAGGGGAAGGAGAAGCTCAAATATGATTGCTCAATAACAAGCATCAGTGGGCTCATAGTAAGCACGCTTAAAGTGGTCATGAACACAGAGAACTCCTCCTTGCCAAGAGGATGCTGCCTTTCATACATCACTTGTCCAGATTTGGAAAGCAAATTGCTCTTCTGCAAACAACACTGTTAAATGTGGTGCCAAGGCAAAGTCCTGACTTTGTTTGGTGCAGAACAAGGGTCTCTTCCAGCTATTGCCAGTGAAAACAGCATCTTACAGAAACGGTTTAGTTATTCCTCTTGGGGCCTTCTAGATAAAAGCAAAAACATGTAGTCTCTGAGGAAACTGAAAACAGATTTCAGGTCAATTTCAGACACACTGAATATGTATTTTCTTGGTGCAGCTTTCCCAGACTTTTCTATTCCTTATACTGCAGCATCTGTAACTCCCTAGCACTACTAGCAGGGATGGGAGTGGGGATGAGTGGAGGCAAAGAGAAGGGGAAAGTGGCTGAGAGAAAGGAAGGGACTAGGAATTAAATCTAGAATGAAACTAAAACTGAAGTAATTCTATAGACAGCATGGCATGGGAAATTACTTCAGAGGTTCCTGGAGAATGAAGAGATTTAACCACTGCAGACCACAAGGGATTTGGGAGGTTTCAATCCATACCTGTGGTAATCTTTGGTGCAATGAGGCCTCAGGACCAAAGGAAGACATGGACAACAGCAGCTGCCACCATTTACCTAGAGAGACCCTTTTGCTTTCAGATGTGAGCTATAAGAAATCTTTTAAGTCAACAAGGTGCTGGTTGCTGAGGCACACACAATGTGCCACATTTGTGCTCACCAGCACATGACAACACCAGTGCTCGAGCATTCTGCTTGATCTGAATAAGCACAGGGTGGGTTAGAGAGACAGCAGCCTCTTCAGCCATTCACAGCTCTCCAGACCCTAAATTTTTGTGCTGTGTGCCTGAGCTCCATCCCAGCCCATCTGCTTGCTGTAATGCCCAGAATATTATCTGGGCCTGAGATCTCAGAGGTGCCTACACAGGACATACAAGGGGCACCTCACAGGTCTCCAACCCAGTAGATATCCCACCTCCACGGACTTTAATTCATGGTTTTGATGTCAATCCCATTACTCCTGGGAGCCTGACTGCCCACCTTTCAGCCAAGTCAAGCTATGAGCACCTGACTTCCACTTCTGTAAATCTTGAACAAGAGCTGCAGAAACCTCTGAGAGGGATAAACCTTCTCTCAGATGTCATACTCAAGGGCAATTGCAATGCATTCCTAAAACAGATTGAACATGGAGCAGTACTTTCATATTTCAAATGCTGCTTAACCTCTTGCTTTTTGAAGCTATGGCAATGCTAGCAAATAGTATCAAAAGATGTATCTTTGGAAAACACTGGGGATTTATGAGAATGACCATTGAAAGAAGATTTTTTAAATTACAATGCAATTGCCTATGCTGATGCCAGAGGATGGGACTCTCCTTGACCCCTTTTCAAAAACTGTATTTATTTTTAAATTATTTGATCTCTCTTTACTGCAAAGAAGCAAGGAATAAACTATCATGAAAGGAGGAGAACAAATGCATGCCAGAAAGGAAGGGGAAAGTATCTTTAACAGAGAAGATTCTTCCATCTGTACAGCAATTTCCTATGATTTATGCAGCAGCTAAAACTATCTCTACACTAACAATATAGTCAAATATTGTATATAGTCTGGGAAATTGTAACATACAGGAAACTTCTAAGGAGCTATGGGCTCTTTCTGAAGATTACTGACAATACACTAACTGTTCTCTAAGTTAGGGCTGCACTTTGTCATTTCCTAAGTATTTAAATAAATTCTGATATAGATAAGCACTTCTGTTTGCTTGACGTAGCACCTAGCATTGAAGTCATCACCCTGCTAATGTCTGGTTTTTCATTTGCAAACATAACCTTTAGAGGGGAATGTAACCTTTAAAAGAGAATTGAACACCCTGCAGAGACATTTTCTTTATCCAAGGCGCCTGCCAGACCCACTTCACTGCTTCAGCTGTGACCCAGGGTGATTGTGCATGAAAGTTATCCCTATATTCATCCCTTGGAAGAAAATGATCTGCAACAGTTTACCCACGTTTTCAGACTGCCTCCAGGTAGTCCTCGGTCCTCCTGTATGGCACCCCTCCCAAACACCTCCCATGTTCTTTGCTAGCAGCCTCCACAAAGGGTAGTGGCACGGTGCTTCCTCTCTGTCTCTGAACATTCACACACCCCTCCGTGCACAGGCTGATGTTCACACTTCTAAAAATGCTAAAGAATTTATTGCAGCGCCAGAGGACAGGGGGAGAAGGATATGAAAAAGTAAAATAAAGCTTTAGGGTTTTCTTCCCCTCATCTTAAGCCTGTTTGTTGTTCTGCACAGCTCTGGCTACACCCTATCAGACCCTGCTGGAGCCCAGTGAGCTGGCTGCTCTCTGTACTCACCAAGCAGGTGACCCAGCTCAGCTGGCCAGCTCCAGCTAAGGACACAGCCTCTTCCAGGCTTGGCCGTGCCCTCAGTGCACCCAGCACAGCCCTGCAACTCACCTCTGCTTTCAGCCCTGACCCCACCTGCAGGATTTCTATCCACTGCAGGACACAAAGCACGGTGCACCTGAGCACAGACCCTTTCTGTTTAGGGAGCTGACTAAAAAGCTGCCCAAACTGGGAAACAATCCACTTCCTCACTGCTTTTCTCTTAGCCTTGCCAACAAGCTGTCATTGTAAGCAGAAATGAGGTGCTGCCATCACAGACAGGCTGCAGGGACCAGCTCCTTCCAGACATTCCTCTCTAGTGTCCTTAACAGATGGGGAAAACAGTTCTGTCCTCCCTGCCAGCCTTGCAGTCCATGCAGCCATCCACTGCTGGTTGCAAATACATCCCTATCATGAGCACCTGCATATGTGCTGAGGCTTGGACACAAAGGGAATGCTCAGGATTGCTCACTACAGGAGCAGTGGTGTGACTGGAAGGAACGGTGCTGGCTGCTTCACTGATCTATAAAGGAGCAGCAAACCACCTAAGTGAGATGTCTGGGAGAAGGAAGAGGCTCCCTGTAGCTCACCAGTGGTGTAATCACTGTAAGAAGGAGTGGCAACTGACGAGTTGTACATGACTAGTGACTGGGAAATATGGGACTGTGGCAACTTCTCACTTCTTCATGGCTTTGGAACAAGGCAAGCATTTTCCATTTCACTTTCCATTTCATTTGACCTACTAACCACAAACTTGTAATTCCTGGTACTTGAGAGATCTTTATTCACTTCAGCACACCCTGTAGAAATGTATTGTTTTAAATCACAGCATACCATTAAAAGCTCCTCAAAATGTAGCAGCCTTGGGGAGGAGTTTTGAAGAGTTTTACTGCCTGTTACAATTAAATTACAAAACAATGGATTAAACTCTATGGTCAGTAAAGAATTTTACAGTGATTCTCCAGCCCAGTTGCAGCAGCATGTCCAGAGTCCAGACACACTTTTTAAATGGCATTCATACAAGTGACCAAAAAGGGTTTGGTTTACCCTTTCACTCCCAGTGACAAATGGTTCAGTGAGATATTCATAGTTTCAGGAAACCTGGGGAGATGCTGACTGTTGCTGCATGTTCCTTATTTGTTGCTGAGCAGTTCTCCTCTTCTCTTGTCCACTGCCCTTTCAAACTGCTATCTTTCCCACACTCTTACTGCAACAAACCCCTCTGCAAGTGCCTGTAGTGGAAAGGGAGAAATTATCTTCTTTTTCACTTTCTGCCAATGCTTCTGGCAGAATGCCAAGGGATGAAGCATCTGTCCTTCTCCTTGTCTTGTTTCAAGCACTTACCCGAACAAGAGGAGTCAGTCACTACCCTGTGGGCAGGGCACTGGGGCTCAGGGCCTGAAGGACAGGTTAGTTTTGAAAGCTTTGTAAAGTTTCCCTCCTGTGCATGACTGAAGGCCCATGAACTTTGTGTCCCTGACACTGGGATCACCTCATTTATTGAGTGTCCTAGCACAAAAGGCCAGTTCTGTACTTCTCCTTTTCCTCTGTCTCTTCAGGGCCAAAGCAAGAGGGTGGTAGAGAAATTCATCTCATAACAGGGGAAAGCAGCAGCAGTCCTCAAAATAATAAGAAAAAAAATTGAACCCTTGACTAGTACCAGTGGGTTTGATCTCTGTGTGCCCTTTTCCCTCCCCTAATTAATATTAATCCCACCATAACAGTGAAAATAAGACAGGATATGCTGCCATGCCAATAACAACAGTCACACTAGATCAACAACTCGAGGGTAAATTGGGTTGTTTATTCCCTTGGAGGAAGATAGCAGCAGGATCAGCTGTGTTTTTTCCACCCTGAGTTTGACTGACATGTTATCTCCTTCTCTGAGGGACTGTAAAAACCATGAGACAAACATTATTTGTTTCCTTCCAGGTTTCTCTGCAAAGGTTGACTGGTGTTTTCTGAGATGGCTGGTGAGCAGAGAATTAAGAGGATAATTCCCAGAAGGTGCAATAGGCTATATTCAGATGATCATTTGTCCACCTCAGACCTCACACTTCAGCAACAAAGTATTGTTAGTATTATACTGCGCAGATTTGCTGCAGACAGCACATAATGAAATCTGTCCCTTCTGCTCAACTCCTGCTGACAAAAGCTGAAATATATGCTGTCTAAAATATGCCCATCTGTGCTGTAGCTGCTGATGACCACACAGACCTCCCTCTTTCTTTCCTCCACCACCTCACACCATTTCACTGCAGTAGCAATTGTAACTCATGGCCATGCCTGGAGGAGTCACCAATAACAAAAATGTCTGAAGAAAATGGTTCTCTGCATACTCTCTCCAGCTACCCTGTCACAAAGAGCTGGGTTTGTCTCTCAGGGATAATAGTACATAGTGCCAAAGCCCAGCAGTCTCAAAGATCAGTGACCCTGTCTTCAGGGACACTGTTTCCTGGAAAAGTTAGGTTTATTGACTTCAATATGTCCTGGATACATGGGTCCAGGGCCACAGGGCTCACCCAGCAGGATGTGGCAGGCAAAATACTTTCTGTTTCAAGTGCTGCAGAGCTCATGGGGTGACCTGGGCTCCCTTCCAGACCCCTGGGCCAGAGCATGAGGCCTTGGCCCCCCCAGTCCACTGCAGCCTCCCAGCACACCTCTTGTTTCTCCATCTCCATCTGCTGCACAGAAACATAATTTACCCTGTCAGCTTCCCTCTCCAAGAAAAATCTGAGAAGCCACTGCATTCCCATCCTGCTGCTGATGCAGATTCACAGGGAGATGTGTAAGATATGCTCAATTAAACTGGAGTTGATTGCACTGTGCCAAGGTCCTCTGCACAGCTCCACCACCTCAACACAGCTGTGTCTCAAAATGATAGCTCAAAACATTTATGTCAACCCAGGTCTTGTTTGCTCAACTCCAACGCAGTGCAGGTTTGTATGTGCAGCACCACTTTCTCAAATCTGAATTGCCTTCAGAAAAGGCTGATCTAAAGCAATAGAGCACAGACATCCTTGGCCAAGCCACTGCAGAAGTAGGGACCTATTCTCAGAGCCCATTGGGAAGCAAAAGATCTTAAGAGGGAATCTTTAACAATACTGCGGTGCCCATCAGTAGAACAAGGTCACTGGCTTTGCCGAGTGTTGCTTCTGTGATGATTTCTTAATACAATTCGCTCTTCTCCTCAAATGCTGAAGGAGGAAAGTCCTGTACATTCTCCCAGAGCCTCACTGTAACCCAGCAGTGAGACCTGTGAGTCCTGCAGCAGCAGGTAATGCAGAGGCACCCCAAGTAATACTTACAAAGAAGTGTGTGCTTCGTATCAATCCACACTCCCCTTTTTCCTTCACTTCCTTCTGCTGATGTTGCTGTGAGCACCTTTGCATAAGACAGCTATCTCAGATGAGGGAATGGCCAGTGAGCAACGTGAGCAGTGAAGTCAGGTACCACAACGTCATTCATTTCACAACTCCTCAAAAATCACTCACATGATTTTTAGCTTCTGAAGGGTGCTCAGAACTTATTGCAATAGCCAGTGCTTTGGCTGCCAGATCTCCTGTGTAATATGAAATCTATTCACAGACAAGGCTTTATATGCCTGCTTTTGCCCTCCAAATCCCCTGACACACTGCAAATCCACACTGGACCTGTGCTTACCATAGGCCTGGAAGAACTCCTTCAGTACATTGACTTTTTTTCTCCTTCCTCTCTCTTTCTCCCTGAATCCGCAACCTGGGGCTATTTTGTAGCTCATCCTTTTAACTTTGTCTCCCTGGTCACTTCCACTGCTGATTCAACAAGACATGCCAGAAGTCTTTAGCTGAAAGAAACATTTCTGCACACATGGACAAAATGAAGCATTTACAAGTAGATGAGTAAGAAAAGATGTCTTTGGTGAGCTAATTAAACAGAGCCCAAATTGAGTCATGGTTTGTTAGAGACTCAGCTGGGTGAAAAGAAACTAAATTAAATCTGGGATATAAATTGTCTTTACTGCATATATAACTCATTAACAAGACATTGAGCCCCTTTTATTAGCTAATCTCAGAGCAATTCAGTCAGGACATGCATGCCACAAGCCTCCTTTTTAGATGAAGAAATTGAGTCTCATGGGATATGATTTATCCAGAAAATCTTGCAAAACTGGGAAGAGGTTCCAAGTGGCACAGGTCACAGCCCAGCAGCCTCCATGCAAGTTGGACCTGGCCAGCAAGAGTGCCTCTAGGAGTCACAGTGCAAGCACCAAATTAAAAAGCACAGCAGAAGGCTCATGAGACAGAGGGAGCAGAGCCCTCAGTTGTGCTGATACATTTTGCAGTGCACCTTGATTAATTCTGATCCAATCCCTCTAAGCACACTTCATATTTTTCATCGCTGTGTGAGTGACAATTATGGTCAAAACGACCCTAAAATACACGCTCCTAGTGTAGGGAACTGTATTTTGGAGCCAGACCACAGTACAATTACAGATTACATAAAGGACCTCCTAGGAAAGCATCTTCACATCTTCCAGCCTTTTGCAGCCTCATTAAAAAAATCACTGCATTTGCCAGAACTTCCCACTAGTGATAATAGCCTGCTGTTCTCTGACACTGATGTTCAGGAAAAGCTGAATGTTAGCTTTGGACAAAAATGTGTGTTTGTTTGTTTCATTTTTTTTCTTTAGTAAGCACAATCACTTCTGCTGACTTCTGCCAGATCTCAGATAGGCAGCCTGCCACCTGTTGTTTTTATTACTTGCAAACTTACATATTCAATACTGGAAATACAGAGAAGAGATAATCTACATTGATCCTGGTCATAGAGCACACTTGGAGTTTACACCACCAAAGGTGCTGGCCCGACGCTGAGCACCAGAAGCCTCAGCTGCAAAGACTTAAGTCTTTGTTTTAATCTTAAATTCCTCTGGAGACAGAGCAATATCTCTGCAGAGTATTCGGCTCTGTGTGGGTACTTGGCTTTGAACAGCCATCTTCCATATCAGCTCACCTTTCCCTAAAAGTTTGGTGCCGGCACTTGATCACACTCATTGTCCGGACTTACTTGTGACTCAAAATTAAATAAATCTGGAGAGGAAAACCAGCCAGCAAAACAACAACCCTTACATTGGCAATCCCATTTTACTGCTGCAATCCCACATGGGGATAGACACCGCTGTTTAGAGGGTGGGTGTTTTCCTTACCTCGCTGACAATGGATGAGTGGGGCTGTTCATAGACCCAGTTACGGTGGCAAGGGACGAGCGGCAGGTTGCCCGTGCTGCCATTGCCAGAGCGGGCGAGCGGGCTGGCACAGCTGGCAGAGGTGTCCCAAGTGACATCCAGCCTCTGGCACTCCCCGCTGAAGGACTCGTTCCCCAGGTGCAGGGGAAGGACCGTGAAGTTTCGTTCCTCTTCCAGCGTCCAGCCGCATCGTTCACTTAACTCAGCTCCCCCGGGGATCCTGCACCAGAAGTTGCCTGGTGCTCGCCCAAGGAAAACTACGCTGGCGAACAGGGAAGAAAAAGTTATGCCTGTCTGGCTAAGGAGGAAAAAGACCCTCTTTTGAAATCTTCCAAATTCCCCAGCCTCCTTCAAAACCTCGTCAAAAGACGGCATTGTGCGGGGCGGTCTGTCGGCTCGCAGCAGCCCGAGAGACGGCGGAGCTTTCGTTCGCACCTCGCATCGGCCGCCGGAGCTCCCTACAAACGGGACGGGACGGTCTCGCCTCCCCTCGCTCCGCTCCTCTCATGTGCGCACACGGACGGACGGACGGACGGACGGACGGACGGACGGACAGCAGGCGGTGGCATGAGCACAGCCGGGCACACAGCCGGGCACACAGCCGGACACACAGCCGGACACACAGCCGGGCACACAGCCGGGCACACAGCCGGACACACAGCCGGACACACAGCCGGGCACACAGCCGGACACACAGCCGGACACACAGCCGGCTCAGGGCACCGCCAGTGGCACCGGGCTTGCACCCAGCCGGGCAGGAGTGCGAGCTGAAGCCGACGAACAGATTGTAGGAGAGGAGGGGCGTGCATTTCGTCCCGAATGTTAAAAGAGCTTGTGTAATAAAGCCGGTTAACTCCTTCGGGACGGGCGAGGCCAGCTCCCGCAGAGGCTGCGATAAACCAATAAGTGCCAGGGTAAAGCAGAGTTAAATGGGAAAGAGCACGGGAGGTGTGGCAAAAAGCATCAGTGAGTGATGCAGGCTCTCTGCAGGATGGCATGGGCAGAAAGAAAGTTGTTTCAAAAGACCGATAGTCTTTCCTTTCACAAATAGGAATTGATACTCTGGCAAAGTGTAATTCCTTCTCCAAGGCGCTGCTTCAGCATCGGTGCACACCTAATTCACATGGGCCTTTCCTTTCTGTAGCGTACATAGAGTGAGGGTCACAAACTGCAAGAGACCAAAATCCAAGGTTTTTTTCTTAAAGTTTGATCTACCTGTTCAAGGAGGCTTTTATTTGACCTTGTTAAATTTAGTTCCACAAAATCTCTCGAGTATTTAAAATAGAAATGACAGTGTTTCTTTCTCAAAAATGAATGGAAAACAAGTCATGTCACTTTTCTACTCAGCTGTTTGAGGAAGGGGGAGAAGGGGAGTCAGGGCCAGGGTGCATTTTGTGTGCATGTGAGTATATCTTGTGCAGAACACCATGAATCAAACCAGAGATTCAATAGTGGGTTTTTTGAACCTCAGGATCATGAGGTCCATGGCAACTGTATTCTCTTGGGAGAAGGAGCATCTGTCAGAGACAGCATCTGTCGAAGATGTCTCCTGCAGTCCCTTGTCTTTGGTTACCTTTGGTTACAGCCTTGACTATGGGTGTCTACGGTTTTGAAACAAAATACAATTTTAAAAACAGGTGTAGGTCAAGGAAGTCTTTGATTACTATACAGGCTAGCTGGCATGAAAACTGATGCTGTGGTGTGAGCTCAGCAAAGATGTAGACTTCTAGGTGGGTGCACAGAATATGCTTTTGAGGGAATTTGGTTTGATGGCTGGTTATGCTATTTTGTAGTACTCAAGCTTAGAGGCCATGAACGTCTCACCTTTGGGTCCAGGTGGAGATGAGGAACACTCTGATGGACGATTTCAAACAAGAGAAGTTCTTTTATCCCAGCAGGACTAACTGGAAAGTCAGTCGTGCTGAGATGTAAAAGGCAATAATGTTTATTCCAACAGCTTCCAGTGGCTGGGAGGGGATTGTCTTGTAGGGAACACCATAAAGACAAGAAATAGGGACAGAGCCTGATAATCAGACTGTGTGCCGCTCTCACAGGTCCAACCAAGGGTTCCTCCCATTTCAGAAATCCATTGGTGTAGTTACTGTGCTGCCTCTTTGCTAATCAGTGGAGCTAGACCAGATTCAGTTGAGGGAGAATTCAGTCCACTGTTGCAACCTTGCTTCTGGAGTTACTTTCTTCCCTAAAAGAAGAATGTTCTAGTAGCCCATTGTCAAAATTTCACCCATCCCTGTCCATTATGCTGTGGTCATGGACAGCACATGCACCTCAGTCTGTTGCAGCAGAAGCCAGAAAGCCTGAGAGAGACCAGTGCTAAGGTCAAGGCAGAGGACATCTGGGATTCTCCCTAACATTCCCTGCAGCTACTCTGCTGGTCATACAGGCAAGGATTCATTCATTAAAATCATTTCCACCACCTGGCATAGGTGATGTCATGGTAACCTTGGTTTCTCAGTTTAACCTGTATTTTAAGTTCTCTGTCCAAGAGCAGTGTATCAGTATTTGCCACCATATCAGTGTACTGCAAGACTTCAGTTTGTCAAAGAAATCTAAAATACCACAGAAGCAGATGCATGAGAGTGTGCACTACTGCATTTATTCTATAGCAAGCAATTCCTGGCTTCTGCATTCTTTTTTTTGGAATTTCAGCTTCATGTGCTGTGAGTGCTCAACACATCTAAGGACAGGAAGATGAGGGGTTTGTACACAAAGCCTGTAACTGTAACCTCATGAAAAAGCGCCTTTACAATTTTGAGAACAGATCTCTGGGTCATCATTTTAAACATTCTATTCTACGCATACAGTAAAAAATTATACTCTATGTTACTGGGAAAAGCCAAGGAAGATGTTGACTGATGAGAAGAGCAGAAGCTGTAAAAACAGATGCAGAGAACAGAAAGAAGGAGGGAAAAGAGTGCAAAGGGAGCAGGGAAAGAACAGATGCAGAAGTGGTGATGAAAGAGAGCAGAGAAAAAAGAGATATAGAAGTACAACTAAATTACAATCACAGGCATCTTCATTTGGAGCTCTGTTTAGCAGCCCAAATGTCACAGCTATTTTGGACATGGAATGAGAACCATGTAGTCCAGAGAGGAAGGCACATACACTCCCTGTACACATGTGGCACTAGACTACCATTTATACATGCTTGGATGACAGCATGAGACATTTTGATAATACCTACTCTGACTGAATCCTGGAAAGTTAAAACTTTACTGCAACACCCTGGATAACCTCTGCCAGTGCCTCAGATGATAAGTTTAAAAGCTCAAAGTCCTTCTTGGAACATTGTGAGGAGTGGGGCAGTGACATCACCCAGTTTGCAGGAACTTGAGGGCACCATCCTACATAACAGCAGTGATAAAATTATGCAGTTCCATGATAAAGTTCTGCAGAAAACCATGACCCAGGCTTAAGGTCCATACAAACACATTCCTCTTTTTGAATAAAAGAGTACCTGTGAACAAGCTTGGGCAGAAATCATCCACCCTGCTTGTTGTCTCACTTGATGCTGCATCATATTGTACCAAATATTTGTCCCTCAGACAAAACTGCTAAGACTAGAGAGCCCTAAGCAGCAAGTGTGCAAACCAGTCAGCTTCACACCCAGGGCCAGGAGACTGCCTACACCAGCCTTTTCTTCCACTCTCCATGCCAGGAGAAGGGGTGGGGATCTCCACAGCCCTGCATTTGGGGACTACTTGAGTCTCTGCTCACTGGAGACCCCACAGCAGAGACTGCAACAGGGAACCAGGCAGTGGCAGCTCGAAGTGCATTGCACAGATGTTAATGCTAGGGCTTAGTGAACAACAGAAGATGGCAAGAATTAGAAAGGCTCAGTTTTGGAGAGCTCAGTTTTGGAGATTAAATAAATAGTGGATTTTTTAAGATCAGAGTGAGACTGCTTTATGAGGCAGTTAGAGATGCTGAGGCTCCCCTCTCCCACACGTGGTACAATTACATTCCAGGTCAGGACACTAAATTACACGTAGCTTTTTCGCTGACAGTTCCCCTATTTTGGCTTTTGTTGCTGTTGGCTTTTTTCCCTTCACTTTAATAATCTTTCTTCTTCCTCCCACATCCACTTTCATCTTCCTCTTTTATCTCCCTCTTCCAGATTTTCTTTCTAAAAGGTGGCAAATGTACTCACTGAAATACGTCCTTTCCCAGGCCTCCAGATCAACTTAGTGAGCTGTAGGCTGAGTTTGAGACATGGGAAAAGTCAATTCCAATCAACAGGGTTTCCACCTTTTGGCAATTCATGAAAGCAATGCACAATACATTACACTCCCCTCCCTCAGTATTTCCATGGACTGTAAGCTATTTTTACCATCTTAATCCCAGGAACAAATATAAATAAATGTAGTACTTGGAACTGTAGAATACACCAACCAGGGTAATCTGTACTCATTGCTAAGACAGCAGCTGAAACAGCAGAAGAAAATGAGACACGGGGAAAGAAGAGAAAATCGAAATGAGGGGGGGGAAAAAGCATGGAGAGTGAAAGGAAAAGCAAAACAGTAGCAAAGAGGCTCCTGTTTCTCTCCTCACAGGAGAGGAAAAATCAGACCAGTAGTGACCACTTTGAAGAGAGCCTTTATCTGTCATTTTGAGGAAACCATCCTAACTCTTCAGTGCATGCTTATTCTCACACCCTCAGCTTCTCCTCCCACTGCCAAGGTGCAGAAGGTGGGGGTCACATGGGGTTTAAGTGCCAACAGCCCCTGGGCTCCCCCAGGCTAATCCCCTCTGCATCCACCAGGTCTCCCTCCCTGACACCCCACACCTTCCCTTGCACAGGCTCCTTCTTGGGGTGAAGCAGTCTCTGCTCAAGGCAAATGGGATCCTGCTGGTCCCGTGGTTTATCACCCAGACCCAGTGCTGTTTCACCCCCACGGTGGTTGCAGACGACAGCCTGGCTCTCAGCAGACTGAGGGAAAGCAGCAGCAATGTCTCTCTGCACACTGGTGTGGGAACATCTGCTTGCCAGGATTTCAGCTCAGGATCTGAGACAGGCTCAGGGACTGAAAGGGCTCACCAGTTCCCTCAGGGCCAGCTGAAGGAAAGGCAGCCAGAGGAAAAAGGGATTACTACATACCCATTTTCACAGTCTATGTGTGGCTTCCCTCATCATTTTTCTTTTCTCCCAGTCACCCTGGAGGCTAGTGAAGAGGTTACACCAGGCTCTACTTTCCTGTTCAGATATGCAATAATAACAGCATGTTTATCAGGATCCTTGTTAATGACTCAGAAAAAGCAAGCATTTCAGCCATAAGACAAGCCAAGTTCACCAGAGGATATTTTACACAACGGAACAAACAAGATCTATCTCCAGAAATGGGTGTAAAGACTTAATAAAATGAAAATGTTTCCTCTCATGTTATCAGACAGGTGTAAGTCACAAGGTTTCTTCTTCTCTCAGTTGCACATGCTTCAAGTTCTGCTTGGAAAGTCAGAAAAAAATCACATCAGTTCTGTTCATGATTTCCTCATTGTTGCACATCTCTTCCCTATGACTCAGTT